GGATTGTTACTTAGAATTACATTTCGGCTACTCAGTTCACCGATTAAGCAAACATCCTCTTCCCGACGAACATAGAAGAGCTTACAGATGAAGCAAATAGGTACAGGAATTTTGAAAATATTAACAAATACCAATATGTATTTGTTACATTATTAACCTTAACTATTTACATTCAAGAGAGACATCCACAGATCCCCTCAAGATACAAATATCTCCAACGAAGAGTGTGCTCCTACTGTGGTGAAATATAACAATATCTCTAGTGGTAATAAAACAAACACCAGAAAATATATTTTATTAAAGGCATATGATCTCACGTTTCAGATACTGAAGTAAGCGAATATTCGGAAGGTACTTTCATTGATATCTAAGTCACATATCTGTGATAGGAATGGCTTCTACATTTGCCGTCAAGACGCTGTGGCTACCTGAAACAATTTAAAAAAATAATATATGAATAAAATGAATAAGAGAGATGTTATAAATATTATGTCGCTTGTTCGGACCAGGTCTGGCTATAAATACGAGACATTGCCAGAGCCAAGGGCTGAGCGAATATCAAGTACGATCTATGCATGTTACGATCTTTCAAAATTGTCAATCTGTACAATCAGTTTCAACTGCATTTTTTCAGTTTTGATTATGCTCTCGCTCTTGCCGAGGGATCGAAACCTAGCATAATAAATAAAATTTCACAAACAAATGTTTTTCAGCAAAGATTTGCAGCATCATGTATTACGTCTGCTGTCAAGTCAATGTGAAGATTAACTTTACCTAACATTCAAATTGACTAGTGCATCTAGAGATTATCTAAAATACCGCAGTTAATTCGCAGATTACCCAAAGTAGTGGTCAATTTGTAGATTGCCTCAGCATTTTGCAGATTGCCGAATTTAGTACATTGGCGGTAACATATACAGTGTCCAACATCAAGATGGGTTGCTTGGGGAGCGCAGAAACCGTGAGAGATTCCAAATCGGAAAAATAAGAAAAAAATTACTACCATATACTATAAACTTTTTCCAAAAAATATGTTGAATTTTTGAACAAAAAAAACAATTTTAATAAATCAATATTGAATTTCCTTAAAAAGTAAAAAAATTATTTATTTAAAATTTGGATTCGTTCATTGTAATGGAATTATATCTATCAGATTGTCCGATAATTAGAAAACAAATGAATAAAACACTGCTATTGAACAACTAAAATGAATTACATTTCAAATTAACTTATTAACTACTTAAAACTATCGAATAGTTCGATAGTGTTTATTCTATAGTTTCCATCACTGAATAAAACATTGCTATCGAATAATTCGAATGAATTACAACTATCGAATTATTCGATAGTTCCCATCGCTACTTACAACATTAAGTTAGCATAGAACAAGACTTATATAAAAACGACTCTAATTCTTGTAAAAAGTTTGTCGACAAAATGGCGCCTCTGGTGGCTGCAAAATAACGAATTTAAACAAACCTGCATTATGAACTCACTACACTTGATCCTTTTTAATTGCATCGCAAGAACTGATAATTGGGATTAATGACACAACTACACAAAAACACATGTAAATACTTATACATATATACAGGGTGATTCACGGTCGATGGCGTATTATATGTTTAAGGAGAATGCGATGCCCGATCTATCGGCCTAAGTTATTTTCAGCAATGCGAGGGTGCCGCTTATACCGAAAAGTACATACAACTTTGATATTTTAAATGAGACACCCTGTATATTATTGCACGGTTAGATTGTCTATATATATATATATATTATTATTTTCGCATAACGATTCCTATATCTTCTAAAGCGGTTTCCGAAATATTTAATAAAATTAATTATTTTTAATCAAAACGTAGCCCCAAGGAATCTTGTATTACAACGCGATTTCGATACCTGGAAATTTAAAATTGTGGTACTGGGTTAGGAAAAGCCTATGCTTGAGTACGACGTACAGCAATTTGTTCCAAATTATACGGGATGTCTTGAAAATACTGACCTTTTAGCTAGAGACAAAAACTGTTCCAATTACATTTTTTCAAATAGAACACCCTGTATATTAGTTCAAATACGGGAAGACCGTTAAATTCCCTGTGAAACGATATATCACCAACCAAATAAGTGGTTTTGGAAACTCAAATTTAAAAAGTGTTTTTTGGCTTAATTTATGGACCCTTCAGTAAAATTTTTCACTGAGAGTGATTAATTTGAAGTGATCTTTAAGGAAAGAATAGAGAAATCTGGAAATTCCGAGAACCTCAAACGACACCATCACCTATTTTTTCCTAGATGAAAATGCCACCTGAATAATAATATACCGTGATGGTAATGCGTTACAATACAATCTGATACTGGGATTGCCGATTAAGGATATGGCCACTTTATAGAAAATCTCGTAACAAACAACATTTTTCCTATAAATTTTTCGACCAAATGCCGTTTTCCACCACTTTTCACCCTCTGAAATTCACCAAATTCCAAAACAAAACAACGGTCGCCAGTCAACATTTTTCGCATATTTGCCAGTACTATCATTACCACTTCCTTAACCACCTACGCGATCAGCTTGGCTGAAACATTCAAACAGAATCAATTTGAAAATTGAAGAATTTGATAATTTTAAAGTTTTAAAGTTGAATGTTGTTTGAAATTTAGTTGAAAGGCATTTTTGAACAATCGCCGGTCTTGCGACTAATAGTGTGTGTACCGTTGTGCAGTGTAGTGACTGTAGCATTACTGAAACTGAATTTCATAAAATTCTGCTAGATTGCAACTCTCTGTTGGACTTCTTCTACAGGCACGGCGTTTTGAGTTGCCATTTTCGATGTTTCTGCGGGATTGTGTTGGTTCCCAAGAAAACTCCCCGGTGGTTAAAGTTTCATTGCCAAAAGCGCAACCCCACAGATGGCACATTTTGCACCACCAATTTTGCTATTTTCCAAGAAACTTTTTGGAACCGGCTTGTTATGTTTTATTTCTGTCGACCTTTCCCGCGAAATGCTTTTATTCACACGGAAATGAAACTAAATTCCAAAACTATCAGCGACTGGTTTTCTTTTATCAGGGAAGTTTTCATTTATTGGGTTGAACAAAATTCTTCACAGATTGGTGGAGTAGGTGAAGCCGTTGAAATAGACGAGGCGAAAGTCGGAAAAAGGAAATATAATCGAGGCCGTATTATCCCAGGGGCGTGCATATTTGGGGGCATCCAACGAGGCGATGGAAACTTCTCGTAGTTCCCGTTGAAAATCGAAATTCTGAAACTCTTCTAAATATTATTCGAGATGAAATTAAACCGGGAACAACAATTGTCAGCGATTGTTGGAGAGCGTATGACTGCCTTGGTGATGAGGGCTTTACTCATCTAAAAGTTAAGCATTATCTGAATTTTGTTGATCCAGTGACCGGAACTCACACTCAGAATATTGAGCGACGGTGGAGAAAAAGTTAGGAATTTGATTCCTCGGTTTGGCCGTAAGAAAGAACATTTCTACCGCTATTTATGTGAAGCTTTGTTTATGATGCGTTATCGCGTTCATTCAAAACGATTTCATGTTTTTTGGGACACTGTCGCTCACATGTATCCTCCAGTGCCCCATTCGTAACCGTTTTTCCTTCTGAAGCACCGATTTCTTTTTAATTGATTTCTTTATATAATTTTCCTTTTCCAATGCAGGTGTTTTTAGGTTTACTCATTTCAGGGTTGATTTTGTTTCTTTTCTGCCCGTTGCCTGTCCATATAAATAAACAGTTTTTCAATTTTTTAAAAACTTCCGTTTTTTGAAATATTGCTTTCCTGCACTGACACTACGCTACTATTTACACTACACTAATTACCGTGGAAATTAGCGCGCTTTTCGAACCATTTTGACAGCGATAAAATCTATCACATGGAATTTGAAAATATATTCTATATATAGATTAAGTGTCATAACAATTTTTTTTTTAGATCCTATTTTCGGAATGAAGCAAGATTTAGCATGTGGGCACACTGCTGCAGAATAGGCGCTGGGATAAACACCGCATGTATACGTTCTGTACAGAACCTGTAACATGTAACTGAGGTTGGTTTATTGAAATGGTTATTTATCTATTAACTTATCTATCATTTAATATTCTAGGTAGTAGAGAAATTTTTAAGAAGAGAATAAAAAAGCACAACATGAAGACTCAAGACTATTACCCAAGAAAGAAATACGTAGCATATGACCTTTGGGAGCCAGTGTCAATCAATGCTCTCACACTTAGACAAGGAAAGAGAGTCGTCTTCTGTTCGTCTGTGCAAATTGATTATTATTATTGCAAATTATTAGAGCGAATTTTTACATACTGTATATCCTACTATTGTTACACAAGTTTTTAACATACTCGTTTTTAGGTTGATTTAGATTCTTTTGATAACGATAGCAGAAAATAGCTATCGAAACGTCAAGGTAATTTTTCAAATTAATTTCTTTACTTGGAATTTTCTCTTACAGCTTGAGCCTAAGTGTGTCGCAGGATACCCTCTAGGTGATAACTCTTGATTACTTTTTGATAAATAATTAGCTCTTATTGCGAAATAAGAGCACTATTTATCAATCTGTAATAAAATAAGTGGAAAAATTCTGTCTTTTTCTTAAGACGAAAATTTTTGAGGCAAAATACCGAACAAGCAGTTTGTAAAAAATGAATCCGCCTCAACAAGATAGAATTTATCTATAATTTATTTTGTTTTAGCGTTTCAAACTGTTCATAAGTCTGCGGATACCCCAACCAGTGCAAGGTACACCAGTGGTCTGCTGCAGCAAGCCTGTTCAACTTTTGTTGAGGGCCAAGGTATTGCCGTTGAAATAGAAAGGCAAAAGGCTGAGGCAATTCAAAGTTTGGCTGCTGCAGTTGATAAATTGGCAACCGTCCAATTAATAAGTTCAAAATTGGAGTATGTCAAACTATTTGGAAATTTAGACAACTTTGAGGACTTGATTAAATAAATAAATTATAAAGATACACTGTTTGTTTGATCTTTGATTTACTTGTTCTTGAACTGAACTGTTATTTCTAATTATTTTAACTGTAGTAAGCTCTAATAAGTACCAATGATTAATCGCTAAAATATCTATTAATTATTTCACTTTGTACTCTTCTGCCCTCTTGAAGATAATTGTTAAAACCTAAAAAAAAAACAAGTATATGTACACATATGTTTTGAGATTCAACTTTTTCTACAAACGCAGAGTCTCAAAAACATAACGACATCTTTCAGATGTGATATTTCGAAGATTATAAAAGAATAAAATTTTGCGAGTCAATAAAATACTGTTCAAAACTGTGACAGGTCATCAAAAGAAATGTATTTTATTTATAGAATGTTAAACCAAACTTGATTTTAAAAGTTTGTCGGCATGTTTTTGGAACCCCCATATATATGTACATACCTTGGCTTGATTGAATGTCAGTAACTTCATCTACATTTCCCAAGTCTTCTGGGACTAATGTTCCTTCAGCTATAGCAATATTGTGAAGTATTGCACAAGATAATACTATTTTTGCCGCTTTTTCTGGGGAATAGTGCAAAACCCTATGTTTCAAGAGGCATCGGAATCTTTGCTTCAATACTCCGAAACACCGTTCAATTACATTTCGAGCTGACATGTGGTGCTTTGTGTAACTACCCTCAGGTGTGCTAGGGTTGGCATCCTCAATAGGGGTTAAAAGCCACGACCAATCTCCTACAATTAAAAATAACAGGTTGTTTATTGTAAATAAGTTTCCTTACTAACATGTTTTTTACTAACCAATTAACCAAGAACCTATTAATTCATTATTCAAATATTGTTSTTCCATGTGTCTTTTTACCGCAGACATACTCCATATAGCTGCATMATGGGTTGAGCCAGGAAAACGAGCATTGCAATTTAAAATTTTCAGATTTGCGTCACAGATCTTAAAGAAAAATTGTAAAGCATCATCTAAMTTCCATGTAATTTATTTACCATTTGAACATTYAARCTGTAAAAACTTTTTCTATTGTAGTATGCCAAGCCAGGACGAATAGGGTTGTCGGTATCTGGGGCAATAATTGCAATGTGCGTGCAATCAATTGCTCCAATTATCCCAGGAAAGTTATATTTGTCATAAAACCTTTAAAGAAACATATCATTACTCTTTTCCTGCTCTTATTTGATGACGAAACATGATTTACTTATTTTTAGTAAGTTACTTTCATTTAAAGTAAGTAAGTATAAATACTTASTTATTTTKAATATGATGCCKTTCCGCCTCTGTTTGTGGAAATTTTACAAAATGGTCAAGCAAATGGTTGACCATTGCATCCGTAATCTCTGTTATGACGCGACTTAACCTGGATCGTTCAATGGCCAAATGAAAATTTTGTGCAATGCTTCGTTGGTAGCTTCCAGACGCCAAAAATGCAAGTGCACTCAACACCTACAATTTGCATAATCATGAATATCGATATTTATATTGTATAAAGCTACAGTGCATTTTATGTGTGAATACCTAACGTGGCGAAAAAT